TCTTCTTTGGATAAATGTCTATTTAGATTCATTGCCCATTGTTAAATTGGATTATTTTTTTTTGCTATTGAGTTGTATGAGTTTCTTGTATATTTTGGATATTAACCCCTTCTTGGTTATATGGTTTGCAGATATTTTCTCCCATTCCATAGGTTGCCTTTTCATTTTGCTGATAGTTTCCTTTGCTATGTAGAAGCTTTTTAGATTGATGTATTCCCACTTGTTTTTGCTTTTGTTGCCTTTGCCTTGATGGCAAATCCAAGAAAATCATTGCCAAGACCAATGTCACGAAGTTTACCCAACTCCATGCTTTCTCCAGAAGTTTTACAATTTCAGGTCTTATATTCAAGTATTTCATCCATTTAGAGCTGACTTTCGTATATGGTGTAAATTAGGGGTCCATTTTGTTCTTTTGCATGTGGCTATCCAGTTTTTCCAGTATCATTTATCGAAGAGACTGTTTTCTCCATTGTGTATTCTTGGCTCCTTTGTTGTAAATTAATGGACCATATATGTTTGAGTTTATTTCTGGCCTCTCTATTCTGTTCCATTGACCTATGTATCTGTTTTTAATGCCAAGACCATACTGTTTTGATTATTATAGCTTTGTAATATAGTTTGAAACCTGGATGTATAATGCCTCTAGCTTTGTTCTTCTTTTTCAAGATTGCTTTGATTACTTGGGTCTTTTGTGGTACCATGCAAATTTTAGGATCGTTTTTTTCTGTGTCTGTAAAAAATGCCATTGGAATTTTGATAGAGGTTGCATTGAATCTGTAGATCACTTTGGGTAGTATGGATATTTTAACAATAGCAATTCTCCCAATTCATGAATATGGAATTTCTTCCCATTTATTTGTGTCTTCTTCAGTTTCTTTCATTAATGTTTTGTAGTTTTCAGTGTATATCTCTCTCACTTCCTTGATTAAATTTATTCCTAATGTTTTACTCTTTTTGATGCTATTGTAAATGGGATTGTTTTCTTAATTTCTCTTTCCTAGAGTTCACTGTTATTGTATAGAAAAGCAACTGAATTTTGTATGATTTTGTATCCTGCAATTTTATAAATTTATTTATTCTAACTGTTTTTTGATGGAGTCATTAGGGTTTTCTATGTATAATATCATGTGATCTGCAAACAGAGCCAATCTTACTTCTTCCTTTCCAGTTTGTGTGCCTTTTCTTTTTCTTGCCTAATTGCTCTGGCCAAGACTTTCTTTCTGTACCATGTTGAATAAAAATGGCAAGAGGGGGCATCCTTGTCTTGTTCCTCATCTTGGAGCTTTCCTCTTTTCCCTGCCAAGTTCTGTATTCTTGACCAACATTCCAACTGTTGAAATGATGATTAAAATGAAAATGGCATTCGTAGTTGAGAAATGTGAAAGAAATTCACAGACACTTTTTTTTTTTTTTGTGGTACACGGGCCTCCCACCACCGCGGCCCCTCCCGTTGCAGAGCACAGGCTGCGGACGCACAGGCTCAGCGGCCATGGCTCACGGGCCCAGCCGCTCCGCGGCATGCGGGATCCTCCCAGACCGGGGCACGAACCCGTGCCCCCTGCATTGGCAGGCAGACTCCCAACCACTGCGCCACCAGGGAAGCCCACACAGACACATTTTAACCAAAGCGAAAATTATAGCTACACCTAAATTTTATTGCCTTTACAACTACTTAATTCAAATGGAGGAGAAGAGAACAAGATTGTTATTCACTTATGCTGAGAAATCTTAATGCAATATGAGGGGTTATGGTTTGAATGTTAGAAGTTTACTTTTATTGTGATGTACAGTTGATTGAAAAGCCATTGCCTCCTATTTCCAAAGCAAACACTCCTGAATTCTCTTCCTTGCCAACCAATAGGCACTCAGGTTTCCAAATACTGTAGACTCTGCTTACAGAATTTAGCATGGATTTTCTAACTGTGGCTTTACATCTTGTGTCACAGTTACCGTCAGGATAATAAATTACTTTCTGGGCCAGAAATACCCTGCATGCTATAGATATTCAGAAAAGTTTCTATAAATAAGAAGTAGAGTTTATATTTTAGAAGGAAATCACTGTGTTTCTCAAGTAACATAGGTGACTTGTCTGTGTCATCAGCTGGCTACAATTCAGTTGCTGCTAATAACCGTATCTTCTTACTGTGCATATTTATGCAAGTTAAACAGATAACTTGGGACTTGAAAGAAATGTACACTTAATGTGTGTGCATGTAATGTCTGAGATTGGCTTTAAAATCCTCCAGGGGACAAAGGTCCCTGAGGGCATTGTGGTGATTGGGGAATGACCTGTGAGACAAGCTTGGAATGTTGATGTTTGTTTAAGATGGTTGTTGGGCCCCTGGGCATTTATTATACTGCAATTTCTACTTTTGTGTGTGTGAGTGCAAATTTCTACAAAAAAATGCTTGTGGAAAGGAATGGTAAGTTTGCAGTGTGAATATCATGGCATCAAATGAAACTAAGGGGATGAAGAAAAAAAAGCAAATGGTTAACATTTTAGTTAATATATTTATTACTTAAGCATGGAGGAAGGATGGAAGGAAGGGAGGGAGGAATGAAAACAAAAGGAAATTTAGCATATTCACTCATTATTTCCCTGGTCATTATGCTGTTGTTAAATTATTCACATTATTCAGTATACATTTTTTGGTTTGTTTTTTGTTGAAGAGATCCATAAACCCCCTACTTGCTTTCAGAGCACTTTTAGTGGGGTCGTTTAATGGAACGTATGGTGTACCTGCAGGTTACCATACAGATCCCATGTGACTAACTGTGCAGGTGTTGAAATCATAATGTATACTTGGTCATAATTTCTACTGAGGAGCATGCCTGTCACTACTAGAAAGGCTTTGGCCCAGGAGAGGGCCGTGATCATGGTGCCATCAGGGCACGTGGAGGGGGATGGAAGATGCTGCATCTGGTTCAGCTTTTGCTACTTAACACTGAATGATGATCTTGGGCAAGTGTTGTAACCCTTCAGGTCTTCAGTTTCGTCATCTGAAACTCTAAAGGATGGGTGGAGAGGTTTTTTTCTTAATTTATTTTTATTTTTGGCTGTGTTGGGTCTTCATTACTGTGCGTGGGCTTTCTCTAGTTGCCGCGAGCTGGGGCTAGTCTTCGTTGCGGTGTGCAGGCTTCTCAGTGCGGTGGCTTCTTTCGTTGCGGAGCACGGTCTCTAGGCGCACGGGCTTCAGTAGTTGTGGCACGCGGGCTTCAGTAGTTGTGGCTCGCGGGCTCTAGAGCGCAGGCTCAGTAGTTGTGGTGCACGGGCTTAGTTGCTCCGCAGCATGTGGGATCTTCCTGGACCAGGGCAAAAACCCGTGTCCCCTGCCTTGGCAGGTAGATTCTTAACCACTGTGCCACCAGGGAAGCCCTGAGAGTTTGTTTAATTAATGCAAATCTATGCTTCGGAGGCCCACCTTGTGCAAAACCATAGAGCTAATTGACTTTAGAGTTGTGAAAGGAAGATGCCAGGTCCTTCATCTTCTACTTATTCCCCCGTCTCCATCACAGAGGAAAAGAGCTGATGTATTTAAAATTTTGCTTAAAGTCCTTTTGCTTTTATTGCTTCTCCTTCCCAGGCACTTGTATTTTAGTCTTTCTTACATTAAATTATGACACTGTGGGATAGACCTGTTACATCTCGTTAAAGTGATTTTAGTCCTCAGCGAGGAGATTAGCAGATGCTGATCTTCTTGTCTATCCACTCCCGCAGCAGTGTTCCTCACTTCCTGAAGTTGTTCTCTTTGTTTTTGATGGCTAATGTGCCTTAGTCGTTTCAGACCTGAGGACTTAGACTCTGTCTACCAGGGGCCAGGTAGATAATATAGTGAATCGAACCTGTTGTAATCTATGGTTTTTCAGTACAGTCATCCTTAGTTTTCAGTTCTGCAGCTTTTGGCCTTAATCTTGGGGGCCATAATAGAGAATGATGGGGGTTTTGCCTAACTGGAAAGCTTATGACCCTTTCAAGAGGGCATATACTACCTAGTCCCGTCTGATTATTGCCATTTGGGCCCCATGTTGCCCGATTTTCTAAATATTCTGGAGAAATACGGTTGTGGACTGCCATTTTCTGGTCTCTTTTGTTTTTTGTGGGGAAACTACCTTAGACCCTGTTCTTAATAAATGCTTGAATGGGAAATAGGTCTTTAGTTAGTGTTTTTTCAGTTCTCCTGGTTCTGTTGTAGTTGGTAGGCAGGTAACATCTCTGCTCGGATGGTTTCTCTTGTGGTAACTGAGCAAACCTGGTACCCTCATGGGAAAGGACTGAGAGATTATCTGGACAAGTAAAACTGGGCAGGCAAGTCTTTCTCTGTGTGCCCGGCGTTGGCCACGTAAAATCAGTGTGGTACAAAATGTCTCTGTTCTGTGGCAACACTTAGAATCCTTAAATTGAATAATTTGCCAGCAGGTCTGGAATACCTTACACATTTAATGGATTTCTTAAATTAAGGAATGCATTGTCCTCTAGTCGGTCTTTTATTCCCATCACCATTTGGACCCTCTTTTCCTTCATCTCTCTTTCTCCCTCTCCGTTTCCTTCTTTTTCATAGCATGAATTTGTGGCCTGTCCATGGTATAGAATATTCCAGGCATTGTGTTCGCAGAGAATCTTTTAAAGGTTCTTGTAAAGGGGTGTACCCAAAATTCAAGAAATTCATAATTTTGTCAACATCCACTCATGAAAGATATTGAGAACTCATGGTAAACTATGTGTGATATAAAGGAATATTTTTATAATGCTCACATATTTGGGTTTTGGGTTATATGTAAATCATGACACTATAAAGTAGATTTTAAAAAACTCCTTAAGGGCAAGAGTCCTGTTTTTTATATTCCAGAGCACATTTATAGTGTTACGAAGCTGTCAGAATCCTTAGTTATGAGAGATCATTTACGATACGGCACCCCTAAAGAGCGTTAATTCTGAAAATTATTTCTATTTGGCTACAAGTCTCTTGCTCTGACATTAATGTAATATAATTATTGTCTAGGATGGGATCTTTAAGATGAGACTTTCTCCAGACGGGACCCTCCTTGCAGCCGTTCACTTCTCAGGAAAACTAAGCATCTGGGCCATTCCATCTCTGAAGCAGCAAGGGGAGTGGAATCAAAATGAGCAGGTGTGTCTCTTGATTATGATTATTCCTAGAGTGATTTTCGTTTAAGGGTGAGTACTGACAATACTAATTTCATTTTGATGATATTTTATGTTTTAAAATGTAGCTCACAGCTATTACTTATTCTCATCATTCCAAAGCTGTCCTATTCTTTACTTAAATTATACTATTATCAGTGTAGTAGGACAAGTGAAGAACAGAGTAGCACTCTGTGCTGATACTAATTTGTAGAGCAGGACACTCTGTATCCTGAGTGTCCTCTGTCCTTTGATCTCTGCATTTCCCCCTTTCTCATTGCAAAAATACAGAATGGAGATGTTAAGTTTTCAGCAAAAGTTGACTAATATCAAAGATTTGAAGGGTCAGTGTCGTAAAAAGATTAGACTTCTTTCCAAATCTTGCAGTGCTAGTAATCCTGGGCTTCCGTAAGGTTGAAGGGAGTTATCGTCTCTTTACTCAAAAGGTAGACAGAGAAGATACAGAGAAAGATAGAACTGTTCATTTTTTTAGTGTCTGGAAATAACAGCGTTTGAGAATTAAACAATTGAGTTGTTTAGTGACGGATAGTATCAATGTCTATTGTAATCTAAAATCAGGATGGGCAGGTAAGGTATAATGCTCGTTTAATGCCACACGTTGTGATAGAGTGAAGATTTAAGAAAAATCTTCTCAGTTAGATACAGCTTATGTTATAAATCTTTCACTGCTCTGAAGATGATTTTGCCTGCCAGCACTTTGAGTGTTAGTTCTTCTTCCCTCACATCCCCGTTCCCCTTCCCTGTAGAGTATCCTGTCACCAGCTCTGGTGGGTACTTCTGTGATTCTAAGAAAGGAGCATATTCCCTGCAAGGTCTGACTGGATCAGGGTCTCTTTATTAACATTGTTTTGAATTTCATTTCATCAAACTGCACTATAAAAGAATTCTTAATAAGCAAACAGTATTTTATTTCTCAGAATAGAGGAAAAGAGAAAGGGGCTCTACATTTTCGTACTCTTTTCACAGACTTAAATTTATTTGTTTTTGCTGTTCTTCAATTTTTTCTCTTAGACACAATTGTAGGAAGATTCCCTCCCCCCGCCTTCCCCCCGCCCAGTTCCTCACCGTGTTGAATTTAATTTGGTCTCCACATCTCTGCTACTCTGTCTTACTTACTGGATCTAGATTTGTTCTAAATAGAAGAAAGAGATCCTCCTCAGTTATTAACCTCAGTAGCCAAGTAGAGGGACATTCTTTCTGTCTCCTCTGAAATGAGAGCTAAGTTGACTTATATCTTCACTCTAGAAGTGGAGTGGACCAGCTCTCAAAACCGCTTTTTAATGTATTCAGCTAGGGTCATCAGATCATTGATCCAGAAGGTACCGTGCATTTTTCATGGTTATCAATGTGTAGTGTTAAGATACTTAGCTTTTGTTATTTGGGAAGACCCTGATGTTCTATTATATATGGGAAATTTTACATTTGAGCAAGTTTTTTCTTAAAAGGTGAACACTTTGAATATTAGTCATTTGGAATAGAAATATTGATCAAGTTCTGAAGCACACTTAATATTTCATCTTGTGAGTGTCCTAGAATGTCGTACATATAGCACAAGAACTATTAAAAAAAATTCATTAGTATGCTCTTTCGTTTTCTGAAATTATGGGTACCTTTTTTTTTTTTTTTTACATGCAAAGATAACCTGCATCTCTTGTAGTCCTTATTGGCATATACTTGAATTTTTAACTGGTTAGACATTTTTATCGTTAGTTGCCAATCAGTTTCATTATAATTCATTACTCTTTAGCCCATGAATGTTATTCATTGGGTTTTTATAATGATTCTATTAAAAACACAAAAATTGTTAAAAAATCTTGAAACTCAGGAATGAGTAAATGTAAATATCTCAGTCGTTTGGAATAGGCCATGAGAAAGGTAATGTGACAAGAAAGGAAGGGAATTTGGAAATGGCAACAGAGATGCACGGTGGGAGGACATGAGTTCAGGCCAGAAATTTGTCTCTAGTGTTGTCTTAGGGAGAGTCTTTTGAACAGAAATATGCTGCGAGTTTAGAAGGCAGTTCCTTAGGAATTGCTGAAGCCTGATTTTTCGGTTGTACCTCAAAGAGTTTCCACCTTACGTCTGTGGCTCTGATTCAGCGCTCCCCCCCACCCTACAGTCTGCAGACAGACCGTATGATGATACAACTCCTCAAGCTAGTTGTATCTTTTATTATAATTTACACCTTTTTGGGCTTACCTATCAGTTTCTTCTGATTTGGTTGGTATAAATTATCTCCCTTGAATGCTTGAGTAAACTGGAAAAAAATGGGATTTGGGGCTCACAGAGCTGAAAACCACGGACCTGGTTGCCATCACCAAGGCTGCTCGGCACATCCTCATTCCAGAGCACATCCCATCACAGGCCGGTGGCTGCCAACCCCTCCCTTTCCTGCTGCTGCTCAGCACCTGGAAAAACTAGCTGGATAGGACAGACTTGGCCCTCTGAGACCCCTGCCAGTGCTAGCCTCAAAATAAATTTTTGTCCAAAGTTGAGAACAGGGAGGGCATTTAATTTTATCTGTTCAAAGGTTGTGATCACAATGCAAAAGCTCCTTCACTTAACCTGCCATCTTTTCTAGTCTGGTCGTTCCGCTGCTTTGTACCTGCGCCCTGAGCCCTCCTCTCCTGCTCGCTACTTTGGTCCAACCCTTTCTGTTTTACTTTGTGAACTTCATTGCATCATAAACAAACTCCTGTGAGCCTTCATCGTTTTCACAGAATGCTCTGCTTTCTTTTGATACACTTAATCTAGGCGTATAAAGCTCAGTAGGGTTGAGGTACATGTACACATAGTCTTGCAGCTTTTATAAAATTTACTCTAATAATAACCTCTATTATTATTTACTGAGCACTAATTTTGTCTTAGGGTTTTTCAGCAAGTCAGTAGGAGAACTGAGATTTGATTTCATAGCTCTCTGGCTCTGATGTCCACGCTCTTTCCATGACCATGTAAGAAAATAAATACACTTTAAAAAAGGTGGGAAAAACCCTGTTTGTTAGGTTTTTTATTAGGCTTTATTTGATGTGACCTTCAAAAGAACGGAGACAAATTCTTTTTCTCTGCGAATGTAACACGGATTTCTTCCGCCCTCTCAGATGTGTTGAACTCTTGAGCTAATTAGTGTGTACCAGATACTAGAATAAGTAATTGAGAAAGTCTGTCATTGGTGAACCCTTAACTTTATGATAGATATCATATCACAGTACTTATGATGTGGTGACATGAGGTGAGGGTGGTAACTGCTTGTCCAGCAAAAGAAGTTTGAACAACCATACTTTGTTTGAGCCTTTCACCTATATTCCGGGGATGAATCACATTGGATATTTGGACATTTTAGATTTGACTTTAATGTATGAAGAGAGTAATTAAAATCTAGTGTACTAGTCAGCTGTAGAGAACAAACTAGTAGTGAGAAGGAAGAGGGGAGGGGCAAGATATGTGTAGGGGATTAAGAGGTACAAGCTATTATGTATGAAATAAGCTACAAGGATATATTGTACAATGCAGGGAATATAGCCAGTATTTTATAATAACTGTAAGTGGAGTATAACCTTTAAAAATTGTGAACCACTATGTTGTACACCCGTAACATATAATATTGTACATAAACTATACTTAAATAAAAGTAATAGTGCATTAGAGTAAATGTTATAAAGCTTGCATGTAACAGTGCTATCAAGGGTAGGTTGTTACTTTATTCAGAATAATTATCGTAAAATAATAAAGTTCAAGTATTTGAATCTCTACCAAGTACTACAGTAGAAAATGCAATAAGTCACAATCCTTGCCCTTAGGACATTCATAGTCTTGCAAGGGAAATTATAAACACATTAATAAAATAACATGTTAATATTATGAGAAGATAAGCTCAGAGGAATGGTGCCTACTTCAGTTGGTGGTTTTGGGGAGGGGGATTGTTGGGAATAAGTAGTGTTTGTATAGTAAGGCTTGGCTATCAACAGCAATTTTCATCTCTCTCATTTACTTCACAAAAAACCCTGTTAAGTAAAAAATGTTTTTATACTCGTTTTAAGAGATGGGAGTAGTGCTAAAAGAAATTAACTTAGATCACTAAATGTTAGAATCAATGTTCCATTTTGACTCAGGTCCTCTGACTTCGTAGGTCAAGACTTTTTTCCAGAGAATCTTCTTACAGTGCTTATATTTAGAAATACTGACTTCAAGTGGGCAGATTGGGTACTAGTTAAGATGTTAATGGAAAACAGGGAGAGATCGCCCGTGTGGTTTATACGAATGACACCTGGAGTTGTGCAGTTCATTATGTAGAGACACTGGGAATGTGAAAATATTAATAAGCGAGAGGTATAATATTGTCACTTACCAAATGTATGGTGTCACTTTGCGTATTCGTCACTGGCTGAAAATCACTGAAGAACTCTTAAACAGCTGAAAAACACTTAAAACAGCTGCTCTTTTCTCATTTGTCCAGTTTAATCAAGTGACCTTGGGTCAGCCAGGTAGGACAGGCTTTGGATTTCTTTGTGGCCACTCTGGGGAATGAACGGAAAGCCAATTAGTTTAAAATAGGGTATATAATATATAGTGTATAGTTAGCTTATAACTTTACCTTAAACATTGCCTGAGAAAAAAGCTAATGTTTCTGTTGCACTATACAGACTTAGAGTCTTTTACCAAATTGTGAATTCAGCTCATCTGGGCCTTTCTTCAAGCAATACGCTACTTTATTAGTTTTCATAATATGCTTTGTTTGAGTGAGTATTTTCTCTGTAAAATCTAATGATTAAAGATAGTTTGCAAGTGCCCATTCTGATTTACTTCTATCCAGTTTTTAGTTGATTAGATACTTTGGCTTTCATTATCAATATGAAAATCCATCTGGCTAGAAATCTGTATTAAGTTTTGTTCATGTTTGGAATATATAGTAAAATTGCCAAACTGATTTTCATTTCAAACATTTCCCGTATGTTATGCTTATATATTTACATCTCATTTTTGGCCTTAATTGTTCTCTGAAGAAGCTTTATTGCTTATCTGTACTTACTTGGATGTAGTAGACACAAAACTAACCTTTTCCATTTGATTGTATTTTCTCTTTGACACATAGTAGGTACTGGCGTAATTTTGTTAAGTGGATGAATCAGTGAAGGATAAATGGGAAGATAACAGTTCATGTCATTAATAGTGATCTGAACCACAGGTGTTTTCACAACTTCACTAGACTGTCAGCTCTTTGAGAGGAGGCACTGAATTGAGTATACATTTCTTCCCTGAGCGCTAACAAAGGACTTGGTGTATTCAATACTAATAGTAAGTGTTTGTGGAATGAGTAAACATTTAAAGGCTTCTTTTATGCTGTTGGCAACAAGGTCTTTGTGTTATTTAGCTTCCAGCTGTAAAAAAAGAAAAAGAACAGTCAGCAAATAAATCCTTAAATCTGAAGAAAACAGATGTAAGCTGTGTGCTTTAGCCATAACAGCCTCTCTGAACAAAATCTATAACTGTATCCTTAGGACATCCTCCTCTAGGCTACTGCTGCCCTGTAAAGTGAGGGCACCTGAGGCTGTTTTCAGACATACGGTAGCACGTCATGCAGAGAGGAGTGGCATGGAGGCTGCTGCTCAGGATATATCAACATAGTACTGGGACTGAGTACCCCCCACACCCCGCTTTCGTGGGGGTCTTGGGAGCTTGGTGATCCTGTCTTCAAAGTAGCAGCCTGCAGCGTTTGAATCAGATGCCATAAAGCACAGCCAGATCATGGTTCTCCTCACAGAGTCTTTGGCTCTGAAGGGTGGTAAGTTGGGGCCAGTTTGAATAGTATAAGGGGAGCAGTGGGAATGTCAGTATAGAAAGCAGCAAGGGACAAGCTGTCAGGTTGCTGGTCTGGCAGGCCTCCTCTGCCTGAGGCAGAGGTAAGTTTGGGATTTTGTTTGGGCTTCTTCCTTAAATATACTGTACAGATAATTTCATCAAACTCCCACATATTGTGAAGTTGAACACTTAGTTCAGATATATAGACTGAATTGCTGTGTACTTCTAAGATAAAAGTACAGACAGGTATATACCCCAAAGAATTTAAAACAGGTAGTCAAACAAGTACATTCACATACATGTTCACAGCAGCCGCAAGCTGGAAACAACCCAAATGTCTGCTAACAGAAGGATGGACAAATTGTGGTATATACTTGCGATAGAATATTATGCAGCCATAAAAAAGGAATGAACTACCAATCCATGCCACAACTTGGATGGCCCTTGAGAACATTGTGATAAGTGAAAGAAGCCAGACACAAAAGGTTGTTTGAATTCATTTGTACAAAACACCCAGAATAGGTAAATCCACAGAGATCGAGGGCACGTTGGTGGTGGCTGTGGCTGGGGAAAGGGGGAAGGGGGTAACTGCTTAATGCCTAAGCTTTATTTTGAAGGGATAAAAATGTTTCGGAACTAGATGGAGGTGGCAGACATTGTGAACATACTCAATACCACTGAATTATTCATTTAAAAATGGTTAATTTTATGTTAATTTCACCACAATGAAAAAAAAAGATTTCATTAATCCTCTCCTCCCCCCCAAACCCTAAAACAAACAAAAATGCATATAATTAGAATATGATGCGTTGTAGTCCCGTACTTTGGCCTACTTTTTTTTTTTTTTCCCCCCGGTCCACGGGCCTCTCACTGTTGTGGCCTCTCCCGTTGCGGAGCACAGGCTCCAGACGCACAGGCTCAGCGGCCATGGCTCACGGGCCCAGCCGCTCCGCGTCATGTGGGATCTTCCCAGACCGGGGCACGAACCTGCGTCCCCTGCATCGGCAGGCAGACTTTCAACCACTGTGCCATCAGGGAAGCCCCTGGCCTACTTTTTTTTCCTGAATAAGCTTAGTCTTTCCCTACCTGTGTCCTTCTGTGCACACTGTGGTCTCCCACTGGAACGTTGTCCTCCACCCATTTTCCACATCCAGGTCTTATCCAGCCATAAACATATATAACACCATCAGGCTTTCTGTGATCCTCTTGATCTCCCTTCATCTTTCTCAAGCCCATGTCCAAAATGATCTCTTGGTCCTTTGAAGACCCTTAGCACTTTTATCTATACCTCTTTTTTGGGCAGTTATCAAATTTGACCTTTGGTTATAGTTAGTTGTACCCATTTCTCAGCCATCTGTGTGCTTGAGTATAGGGTATATAATGTCTGATTTTTTTTTCTTTTTTCTTTCATAGTGTAAGTGCACAGTATTCATTGACCAAATAGCAGGAGAAACCACACTTTTGAGAAGGTGTAGGAATATTTGTACTATGTCAACTAATTTTTCTATAGCTTAGACATTCTACTTAGAGCTCAGTGATTCAAAGGATTAATTAGTTCATGCCCTCATTCAGCATTTTACTACTGTGACAGGGGTGGGCACTGATAGACGTGGGAGTACAAGGATGACTAACAGTCCTGAATACAGAGGAACAAATCTTCACCTTGGGTTTAAAATTGGTTTCACAAGAGATACCCATTATTTAAGCAATCTACATGGAACAGTCTAGTCCCAGAGTGTGGAGATTGGCTCTATTAGACTAGTACCGCTTGTTCATGGTCCTCTTGCTCATCGTTGACTTGGTTGAAGACAAGCACACTTTGAATTCTCAAAATGCTTATGCCAATGAGAGGACTTCTTTTTACATTTTTTCTCAAGAGTTCTTGTTAAATTTCTTTGTAATCTAGACGTCCTTAAATTTACCCAAGGCTGAATCATAATTGTTGTTGTTTGTGGGGCTTAAAGTTTTAAAGTGTTATCCCGTACTTTCCTTGTGTACTCCAGAGTGTACGTCGGGGGGCACACATGGCATCACGTAAACAAATGCTGGCACTCCTCTGGTGCTGTTGGTGGAGGTGCAGCTGGTGGTTCGGAGCTACTGAAACTTCTAAGGTGCCTTGTAATGGTCAAATAAGATTTTAATTTAGTTGATTATTTTCAGTAATACGTACCTTATTCTAATTTTTTGAAACTTAATTTTTTTTTTTATACTTAAGGACAATCCATTTCTTCGCCTAGTATATAAATAGCCTTTTATGGCAACTTTTTTCTGACAGAGTTAACGAATTATATCTTCTGTTCTCAGGGTCTGCTCTGGGCGACTTATAGTAGTGGAGAGCAGAAAGTTCTCTCAGGGTATGGAAGGAAATATCAGTTTTAATACCGTAATGTATAAGCCACTGATAACTTGTTAATAAAACATATATGCATATTCTGTTGCATAAGATGAAAAAGCACATTTTGACATAAGTACAGCATCACTTTTTTTAGGCTTAAGATTTCAGATAACCCCCAACTGATATTTTGTTGTTTTTTCCCCCCATACTATTGTGATTCTGGAGGTTATGGAGTTAACGTGGGCCTGGGAAATGTCTGGCAGTGGCTTAATCTCTGTTGTTTTGTGTTGCTTGAGAGATCGTGGTGTGTCCTGACGTTCACAAAGGTGGGCAGGGCATTGTGTTGCCGTGAGATTAGACTGTGAACGTATTGAATTTGAGGATTGCATGGTTATATTTTTTGACTTAGTACAATAGGTTTTCAGTCATAGAAAGTTAGAACTGGGCATGACACGGAAGTTGTGGAGTCCAACCTCAGAGCTGTGGGAACTGAGACCTGGAGGGTTGCTTGCCTTACGAGCGGCAGGGTAGCTCTTACATCCAAGCTGGTGTTTCATTCACAACAGCATGGCTGTTCTCCCAGTGTGCAGTTGTGCGTGTGTGCGTGTGTGTGTGTGTGTGTGTGTGTGTGTGTGTGCGTGCAGAATTGTTAGCGTATCCTGCTTTCATTTGTATGAATCGTATGCTTGCCATCACGGTTCTTATTCACGCTACTTTCTTCATTAAATTGAGTCACAGTACTTGCATGTGCACATCTTAGGTATAAGAACAATTGCTTTTCAAGATCTTGGAGAGGAATAGATTTCAACTAGGTGTAACTAAGAGATGAAAGGAAAGCAACATTTCTGTATTTTGTTAAAAAAAAATCCAAAGTTCTTGGTGATGTTCTCATAATTTTCTTACCTTGTTGATCCAAGAATTTATGTCCTGTTTTTCAAATTCAGCCAGGCTATGATGACCTTAATCCTGATTGGAGACTCTCTACTGAGAAGAGAAAAAAAATCAAAGGTGAGTTTCATGATGTATGATGATTAAAACCTTAAGAGACTCGTGTTGTTTAATAAAGGTGCTTTTTAGATGGTATGATATATATAGGGGAGGGAAAACTCCTTTTCTTTCTGCTATCCTAGGTTCTCTGGCTGGGGATCTGTAAAATTAGATTGACAAAAGACAGATTAATAAGAGAAAAGCAAGCAGAAGTTTATTAGCATGTACACTGAGTTTATACACGGGGGTACCCAGGGATGAGTAACTCCGAGGGATGGTTGGAAATTGTGCTTATACAGCATCTAAACAAAGAAACAGTCAATTTTTAGGGAAGTGACAAGACAAAGGAAAAGCAGTTGGAGTTTCTAGGAGTGGCAAATTGTGGGAAGGCAAGTATGTGGGGAAAGTAATGGAAGACAAGCAGTAGTTAGTTATGTAGATTCCTTCGGTGCTATCTCTGGGCTTATAAGGGTCTAAATTTGTCTCCAGTGAAGAACTCTTGTCCTTCGTGGTAGAGAGCAGAGAGGGGAACAACTTTGTAAATTTATGTCCTACTTTTACGCAAATAGGTAGAGGGCAGGGAGCTTTTCTTGTGTCTGCTTCTTCTCAGTGACCTCTAGCCCAAAATAATCATTATGCCACAGTGGCACATTTTGGGGTGGCATATTTGGCTACCCTACATATAAAAAAGTCTCTAGATACTTCTGCTTCACTTTGGAAGGAACACCAAGATTTCATAGGACGGGGACAAGGCAACAGATCCAGCTTTCTGACCGTCAGGTGTTAATATTTTGAGTTTTCCCAAGGCTGAGGCAGAGCCTGTGGCATGCAGCATGGCTCTCCCTCCACAGGCCAGCGTGGAGTTGGCACACTGAGTTCAAAGCTCGTAAGTGTGCTCCTTTGTCAATGAGCATGGAGGGGATAGCAGAAAGGGATTCCTCAAAGGGTAGACTCTGAGTAGTTATCTTTGGGGCTGGGGTGCCGGTGTGGTAGATGGTAGGTAATGAGAGGTTGGAGGGACCTTCTCTTTCTTTTCATTATCTCCATATGTAAGCATTTTTTTTTTTTTAGCAGTTAGCATGTATTACTTTTATAAATAGAAAAGAAACCCAGTATTTACATTTAATTAAAAGCAATAGTGATTATTTAATTGGTAGATTAAAATTAAAAACAAAAATTAAAATGTTAAGAGTTACTTTGAGTAATTGGTTCCTTTTTCTTCAGGTGAAACTCCCCAAGTTAAACACTGCTGAATTTTTAAGTGTCTCCTATGAAATTAGTGATAGTTACAAGGTTCAAGATCTTTATTAAATTATGCTTCTAATTCACATTTAAAGACCCTGAAAGTATTGATTTGTTAATATCACGTGTCATGTTCACGTATTCGCTTTTGTTAAATAGTCATCCGAAATATTCAGAAAAACATTTCTGAGAAAAAATATAATTTGTCAAATTAGAAGGTTGACTGCATATTTAAATGATTTGCTCCTTTCCATCCCGCATTACATTAAGCTGTAAGCCTAGGAACACTGCTTTTCATGTTTTCTTGGAATTCCTTATTTATATAGATTGCTTTAGGCTTAAATCGGAAGAAAATGTTGAGTTTTCATGGTTTTTGTTTTTTAATTAAAATAATGAGTTATTCTCATGGGGTTAACCTCCTATTTTATTTTATTTTTAATTTGGCCGTGCTGCGCGGCTTCTGGGATCTTCGTTCCTCAACCAGGGATCGAACTCGTGCCCACGGCAGTGAAAGTGCCCAGTCCTAACTGCTGGACTGCCAGGGAATTCCATTGACCTCCTATTTTAAAATCTCTATCTCCTTAGTCAAATGTTTACATATATTTTAAAATTTATGGTGTACTTTGTATGTATTACCTTTAAACCTCGTCAGATCCTTAGTGGAACAAGTGGTATAAAAGGGCAATAAAATTATAGTAAATATCATGCCATTTCCTTTTGAATGCCTCAATTTGGTGAACCACAGTTCAGTTCTATCCACCCTCCCCCAACCCCTGCAATTCCTTACTGGTCTTGAATATGTTTTCTTCTTTCTGATTAGTTGCAAGTATAGAGGAGGAAAAAGTTCTTTTTCCTACTACCCTACTAAATTCTCCAGCTGAGACCCAGTAAATTGGACTAACAAAAAGAAAAAAGCATACACATTTACTTAATATGTTTTAGGGACACAGGAGCCTTCATAAGGAAATGAAGACCTGAGGAACAGTTACACCTGATCAGTTTTATACTAGGTTGGGTGAAGAGTGGAAAGTTGTAGAAAGACATGAGAGACAAAAGGGTCTGAGCTAAGGGTAGTAAACTGGGAGGAACTTAGCAAGGCCTGTTTGTTTCCATTTTTCTTGGCTTCTCTCCGTCTTTGGAGATAAGGATGCTCCTTTCCTCCAGATATGAAAAAGGTACCTCTCGCATGAGGATCTTAGGACCTGCTCCAGAGGAAGGTCAGAGTTCTTCCTCAGTCTGCCATTTCTCAGTACACACCTACCTTTTTTTTATATGTTGAAAATGGTGACATATCTCTGAATATTTTTCATTTTTTGAGCAGAAAGACCTTAATATATTTACCTCTGCATCCCTAGAACTTTGGACTTTGGCAAATTGTTGGCATTCAGATGTTCATTAAATAAATTACCATTTTGTATCTTCTACTTGAGTAAAAGTCTGAGTGGTGACTTACATTTTAATTTTTCTTATTATTTGTCGTACCTTTAGGACTCACATGGTTTTAAAATTGATTATTGGACTAAGTGTGTTGTATTTAAACCACATTGATGGATGGATTTGTATTGATTTACTTTTCCCCCCATTAGATAAAGAGTCCTTTTACCCACTGATAGATGTGAATTGGTGGGTGAACAGTGCAGTGATTTTGGCTCGCTGCTCTGGTGCTTTGACTGTTTCGTCGGTGAAAACTTTGAAGAATTTACTGGGAAAATCCTGTGAATGGTTTGAACCATCCCCTCAAGTCACTGCTACCCATGATGGGGGATTTTTGATTTTGGAGGTAATGCTTTCCCTTTTAAAGCAATCAGTGTGTTTGAGAGTAAACATTTATTACCCCCAAAATCTATCTGATTTTAATTTTGGTTATCCCATTATTTAATCTTGTCTTTAAAAAGAAAAATTTGTTATTGGAATCAGAACTTGAGTGCAGTATAAAAAAGATCTATTGTTTAGACAATTGAAAAGGGGAATTGTATAAGAATGAAGAACATTTAGAGTCATTTTGCTCTCTGTAAAGCCTTTCTTCCTCATTGACATGATAGCTTTTTTCTTTTTCCTCGATTAGTTATCTTAAAAATATAAATACTACCTAAGAATGCACTACCTAAGAACACTACCTAAGAAATGCAGTCTTTAACCTATTCCTATGAAATATGACAGCTTAAAACTTTTGGTTCTTTTATTAAGAAAAACTTGTTTATCATGACAAAAATTTTGAAAAGAGGCTAATATTTTAAAGTTATGTTTTGGTCATTTAAAATTATTTTAAGTCTTTCAAGGTAATGGCCTTCAATAGCCTTCACTGCAGTGCAGACTGACAAATGTCTTCTCCCCTTAAGTTTGGTACCAAGTCTAAAGATGTGCTTTAAAGAGAACCAGGGCTTAAAATCGAAGGCAACTGTGTTAGGTCTGGAATGAAAGTTATCATTAACAGGCAGCCTTCAGACTCAGAACTTTGTGAAGACATTGTTTAAAAGCTGGGGAGCTATGCTTGATAAAGCAAATAAATACCTTCAGGTTCATGTTGCTAAATAGATGGAAAAAATCGTCTTTTCACAGCAGGTACAAAAATATCAAAAAGAAAGAAATTAACATTCTCAACTCCTTTATTTCCCTAAAGTAATTACCAGGTATATATTTTACAAGACCGTATTAATGACCTGTTATTAAAACAGGCTTTAGTTTTAGAGATTTGGAGCCAATAACTTCTGTGCTTATTTCTGGAGCTGTTGATGTAAATATATAGCATTTGTTGTTGGGTTTCTTTGAATTCCATTCTTAGTTTTAATCCCACGGCTGATGTAATGAATCAAACCAGAGTAGAATTAAAAATATTTTTCTCATTAGCTCTAAAAACTTATCTTTAGTTCCTCACTATTCACTTAACATTTCCTTTTTCAATCCAGTGCGAGATTAAACTTGCCCCCAAACGATCTCGTTTGGAGACGAGGGCGGGAGAAGAAGGTGAAGGAGAAGAGGATTCGGATTCCGATCAGGAGACATCTGCCAAGGCTCGCTACTTTGGTTATATAAAACAGGGCTTGTACTTAGTGACCGAGATGGAGCGCTTCGCACCAGCCCGGAAACGCCCGCGAACCATTACTAAGAACTACCGCCTGGTGAGCCTGCGGTCTACGACCCCAGAGGAGCTCTACCAGAGGAAGGTGAGGGTGTCCCCTTACTATCCACGGTCACAGCATCAGATGTGATTTGCCTCTATTGAGAAAAAACTTTTTTTTTAATAAAGGAAGAAATTTAAAGAGGGATTGTTATTATCGTTGACGTCTTAGCTGTGTCAGTATGGTAAAGCTGCTGAGAATAATGCTGGTCTTTGCGCCTGCGCAGTCACAGTCAGAGCAGTGGGTGGGAGGTGAGTTCGTGTGGACCGATTGTCCACTTGGCTCCGCCCAGGTTTTCGCGCCACTTCGTGTGGCCTTCAGCTCTCACTTCCTCTGTGTTGAAGTACAGCTGTCTCCTCAGACTGCAGCAGATGAGGGAAGAAGCGCAGACTTGCTTTCTAGTCTGGGGTTTGCTTGGGAAGCAGATTTGATCAACACTGAGTATTCCACGTGTCTGTGCTGCACTGTCACAAGCGGAGTCCTGGAGGAGGAGTCGGGCCGCCCTGCTGGTCCTGGTTTTGCCATTTTACTTTATAACCATGGGTATTTCACCTCCTTTTCTCATCTTTCTGTTAAAGCGCTTAAAAGAAATACTTGATCTCTCCGCCCCTTGTCATGTTCGTGAGCTTCTGGGGCCGCAGTGCGCATGAAGGTGGTTAGGAGTGACCTACGCTATCATCGTTCATTCTGTCATCATTTTGACACTGCAGACTGCTCGGTAATGTCACATTCGTGTTCCATTTCCTTGTCCAAAGATCGAAAGTGAAGAGTATGAAGAAGCCTTGTCTCTGGCTCAGACCTACGGCCTGGATACTGACCTGGTGTATCAGAGGCAGTGGAGGAAGTCAGCTGTCAACATTGCTTCAATTCAGAATTACTTGGTATGTTTAAGATTTTGGGGAACATGCAGTAAAATTCAAACTTATGGAAAAACTTTTGGCTGTAGGGCTTCATGTTGGAGTACTTTTCACTGCTGACTTTTCTATATGAAGTGTTTTATTCTACCTTGAAAAGTTATCGTATCAGGTTCTGTCGGCCCTGCAGCTAGACGTTGGTGCAGAAGACATGTGACCAAATATTCACTGATAAACCAGCCAACTGCCTGGTCTTGGCCTAATCCTTTCCCTTCGTCTACCTCAGTTAACCTCTGTTCACCTCCATCAGTCAGGGTCCTGTCAGAAGCCAGGGACCACACAGTAATTTGAACAGGAACAGTTTTAATATGGAGAATTAATATTTTCTAGCAACAAGAGATTTACTATATGAGGGCAAAGAGAACTCTAAGGAATACCCTGGGGCTGAACGGCATGTACCCAAGGAGAGAACAGACTCGGAAGGGAGGGCTCCCCCTGGGCTGGGATTCAGGCTTCATGGGACAAGGAGTGGTTGCAGCACATTGGACGGACGAGCAGTTCGCTGGAATGCCTGAGGCCACGGCTGGTCCACAGTAGCCAAGGCTGGCGGGCAGGGAAAGGTGGGATGGATGGGCCAGCTGGATGCCTGTGGCTAGGGTGGCCGTGAACTGAGGTTGGGGGGTCGGAAAACCCCAGGGGCTGGTAAGTAGGGAGCCCCCCACCAGCATGAAGGCTGGTAGATAAGGAACCGTGGCCAGGACTGAAAAGAAAATATTCCCCCTGGAGTGTAGGCAAGCCTAGTTTAGGGAGCTTCCCCTTCAGGTGTCTGGGAGGATTCGCTGGGGAGGAATCTGTCCATGGGAGTGCAGCTGACACTAAGTGGGAAGTTGTCTTCCAAAGGAGGGGGGGGGGGAAGTAAGCACCACGAGGTGTCGCCTGTGGGCATTGCCAAGACAGGAGCAAGAACCAGCGCACACGTGGACTAGAGACCAGAGCCTCTTCCTCTGCAGTGGCCTGCAGCGCCCTCTGTTGACAAAGCTTAATATCGTGTCAGCCGCAAATGGGAAAGGCTCTTTATCCCATAGCTGGCTCTGAAGAGTGCTTTTGAGGCTGAGAGGCAATAAATAGATAACTGTCATATCAAACTTGCCAAATACCCCCTTTTTGCTTAAATCCTACAGTTAAATCCTTCCTGCTATGTGCTGCCACAGTTAGAGTTACTACGTTGGCTGTTTATTTGAATCATTGGCACCTTTGTAAGGAAGTAGTTGGACTCATACCTATTTTTAGAAGGTGCTGACTTCTCATGTGACATTTAGGAAGGCAAATACCTTTTCATTTAGGAATATTCTAAGAAGTGTTGGGAAATTTTCATGGTAGTTGTTTTCCCTAAAAATTCATGTACATGAGTAATTAAAAATAAATAAAAACGTAATCTGAAAAAGTTGTGTGTAAGAAGCTGATGCTTCAACCCAACGGGAAGATGAACTGTTAATACAAGCAAGATATCAGAGTTGAGAGAGCATGAAAGATCATGAAATAAAGGAAGAAGACAAAGTTGCTTGTATTTTCTTTAGAATATCAGAACAGCAAACCTGTATTATCGTTCTTTCTTTTGTGACTCAGGACAGTGAGCTCATGAGTTCATGTATATCCACTTAACGGCCTTTTCTGTAACACAGTAGAAAGCAGATTTGGTCTCCGAAGGAGCTGACAAATGTTAGGAGAGACAAATTATGTACATTTTTTATTGGGGGAAATACTTAATTCAGCAAAATAAATAGGCAGTGAAGAGTAAAAGCACTAGGCCAGGAATGAAAGGGGTACAGGAGTGGCATAAATATGGCCTTCGCTTTTAGGGAGCTTATAATCTTACCGAGAAGACAAGCTTTATGCCTTCATTATAGAAATGACCATACAAGAAGATTGCGGACAAATGCTGTGGGAACCCAGTGAAGGTAGCAATCATTATAGACTCTGGTTATGGAAGTCTTCATATAGTGAAGATGTTTTGGGCAGGGATTTGAAAGGATTCAGAGTAGAGCTAGAAGAGAGGAAGGCATTCTTAATGGGACAAGTGGTGTGAGCAAATTAAAAGAAAATGAGCATGACTCATGAGGCCAGTGACTAAACCTGGCTTATTCATTGCTCTATTTTCTTGGCACACAAGAAGTACTCAGTAAATATTTCCTGGGTGAATGGCTCTGTAAGGAAACCAGTCTGTTGGATCTGAGATTCCATGATGGTGAACATTGGGGCATATTGATTAGAAAGATACATTGCTTTGGGATCAGGTGGGAAACCTTGCCAAAGGCAAGAGACTCCTGCACTGTCCCAGTTGTTACGTGTCAATGACATGGACTGATACAGAGGCCATAGATGTGGAGAAGGGGATGTGAGTTCAGAGACATTTCAGGAAAGAATTGATATGAAGGAATGTGTAGGGTATGAATCAGATTTTACCCTAAATTTGGATCCACAAGGGCTCTTTCTAGGAAGAGGGCAAGTCAGGAATTTTGAATGGAGTCAGAGGAAGCTGTTGGGAGGGAAGTACATATGGGCCCTTCGTCTTTCCAAGGAACAACATACCATGACTTTTTATGATTAAATTATCATCTGTGCTTTGGAGTACATCTCATGGTCAAGTAAATACAAAACCTTAATGTACTATGTATACCTCATTAGTTTTGTTTCAAAGTTAAACATGTTTGTTACAAGAAGATAAATCTTGCCTTACTTCTTTATTTTCTACTATTCTATATAGCCCAAGCGCAAACTGAAGAGCAACTAAAAAGTTTGGAAAGAGCTTTTTATGTTTCCAAAAAAGAGTACTGAACTTTGTGTTTCAGTGTGTTTCATTAGACGAAGAAAGAAAGCAGTTGGAATCACATACCCTCTACCCAGTCCTAGGCACTGTTAGGAAAGTAGCTCTTTAATGTTGAGATGCTCTAGCAGCTGCTTGTGGCCAAGGTTTCAGGTAGCTCTACTCTCTTACGTATAGCTTTATAATTCTAGAAGGCAGTTTTCAGGTGCTCTCAGATATCATGGTTTCTTTAATGCCTCTGTTTTTAAATTTTCTCTATATCCAGAGTAAAATAAAGAAACGATCCTGGGTTCTTCATGAGTGCTTGGAAAGAGTTCCTGAAAATGTGGATGCTGCAAAAGAACTGCTGCAATATGGATTAAAAGGCACAGACCTGGAGGCTCTTCTAGCCATAGGGAAAGGAGCAGATGATGGCAGGTTGGTTCTGGAAAGATGTGGATAGAAGTAAAGGTGACTTTATGAAAACTTTTAAGCTGAGACATTGGAAAGGGTAAACTTTTCTTTATTTAGGTTATTCTGCAATGAAGCAGTTGCCTTTGATTAATGCTTTTTTATCTGAGGTCAGTTTTCTTTCCTTTAAGTTAAATACGTTTACATATGATAGCTTGATGCTAAGGAAAGAGCAAATTCTACAAACATTTATTGAATGCTGGCCGTTTCTAAGCTGTGCGGTTAAGGCGGCATGCGCCTAGGTGCGCTGACCGGTGAACTGAACCACCGTAGGCAAGTCTGAGCTTCATTCACTTACTTTATGTGTAGCACTGTGTCCTTCTTCAGAGAATTACCTTGATTAAGTTATACGTCTTGTGAAAGCATCTCATAAACTTTTTTTTTGAATTTTATTTTATTTATTTTTTTAAACAGCAGGTTCTTATTAGTTATCCATTTTATACATATTAGTGTCTACATATCAATCCCAATCTCCCAATTCATCCCACCACCACCACAACCCCCCGCCACCTTCCCTGCTTGGTGTCCATACGTTTGTTCTCTACATCTGTGTCTCAATTTCTGCCCTGCAAACTGGTTCATCTGTACCGTTTTTCTAGGTTCCAAATATATGTGTTAATATACGATATTTGTTTTTCTCTTTCTGACTTTCTTCACTCTGTATGACAGTCTCTAGGTCCATCCACGTCTCTACAAATGACCCAACTTCGTTCCTTTTTATGGCTGACGTCTTCTTTATCCATTCGTCTGTCGATGGGCATTTAGGTTGCTTCCATGTCCTGGCTATTGTAAATAGTGCTGCAGTGAACATTGGGGTGCATGAGTCCTTCTGAATTATGGTTTTCTCTGGGTATATGCCCAGTAGTGGGATTGCTGGGTCACATGGTAGTTCTATTTTTAGTTTTTTAAGGAACCTCCATAGTGGCTGTATCAATTTACATTCCTACCAACAGTGCAAGAGGGTTCGCTTTTTTCCACACCCTCTCCAGCATTTGTTGTTTGTAGATTTTCTGATGATGCCCATTCTAACTGGTGTGAGGTGATACCTCATTGTACTTTTGATTTGCATTTCTCTAATAATTAGTAATGTTGAGCAGCTTTTCATGTGCTTCTTGGCCATCTGTATATCTTCTTTGGAGAAATGCCTATTTAGGTCTTCTGCCCATTTTTGGATTGGGTTGTTTGTTTTTTTAATATTGAGCTGCATGAGCTGTTTATATATTTTGGAGATTAATCCTTTGTAAGTTGCTTCATTTGCAAATATTTTCTCCCATTCTGAGGGCTGTCTTTTCGTCTTGTTTTTAGTTTCCTTTGCTTTGCAAAAGCTTTTAAGTTTCATTAGGTCTCATTTGTTTGTTTTTGTTTTTATTTCCATTGCTCTAGGAGGTGGATCAAAAAAGATCTTTCTGTGATTTATGTTAAAGAGTGTTCTTCCTATGTTTTCCTGTAAGAGTTTTATAGTGTCTGGTCTTACATTTAGGTCTCTAATCCATTTTGAGTTTATTTTTGTGTATGGTGTTAGGGAGTGTTCTAATTTCATTCTTTTTCATGTAGCTGTCCAGTTTTCCCAGTACCACTTATTGAAGAGATTGTCTTTTCTCCATTGTATATCTTTGCCTCCTTTGTCATAGATTAGTTGAGCATAGGTGCGTGGGTTTATCTCTGGGCTTTCTATCCTGTTCCATTGATCTGTATTTCTGTTTTTGTGCCAGTACCATATTGTCTTGATTACTGTAGCTTTGTAGTATAGTCTGAAGTCAGGGAGTCTGAGTCCTCCTGCTCCATTTCTTTCCCTCAAGACCGCTTTGGCTATTTGGGGTCTTTTGTGTCTCCATACAAATTTTAAGATTTTTTGTTCTAGTTCTGAAAAAAATGCCATTGGTAATTTGATAGGGATTGCACTGAATCTGTAGATTGCTTTGGGTAGTAGAGTCATTTTCACAATATTGATTCTTCCAATCCAAGAACATGGTATATCTCTCCATTTGTTTGTATCATCTCTAATTTCTTTCATCAGTGTCTTATAGTTTTCTGCATACAGGTCTTTTGTCTCTCTAGGTAGGTTTATTCCTAGGTATTCTTTTTGTTGCAGTGGTAAATGGGACTGTTGCCTTAATTTCTCTTTCAGATTTTTCATCATTAGTGTATAGGAATGCAAGAGATTTCTGTGCATTAATTTTGTATCCTGCAACTTTACCAGATTCATTGATTAGCTCTAGTAGTTTTCTGGTGGCATCTTCAGGATTCTCTATGTATAGTATCATGTCATGTGCAAACAGTGACAGTTTTACTTCTTTTCCAATATGTATTCCTTTTATTTCTTTTTCTTCTCTGATTGCCTTGGCTAGGACTTCCAAAACTATGTTGAATAATAGTGGTGAGAGTGGACATGCTTGTCTTCTTCCTGATCTTAGAGGAAATGATTTCAGTTTTTCACTACTGAGAATGATGTTTGCTGTGGGTTTGTCATATATGGCCTTTATTGTGTTGAGGTAGGTTCCCTCTATGCCCACTTTCTGGAGGGTTTTTGTCATAAATTCGTGTTGAATTTTGTCAAAAGCTTTTTCTGCATCTATTGAGATGATCATATGGTTTTTATTCTTCAGTTTGTTAATATGGTGTATCACAATGATTGATTTGCATATATTGAAGAATCCTTGCATCCCTGGGATAAATCCCACTTGATCATGGTATATGATCCTTTTAATGTGTTGTTGGATTCTGTTTGCTAGTATTTTGTTGAGGATTTTTGCATCTATATTCATCGGTGATATTGGTCTGTAATTTTCTTTTTTTGTAGTATCTTTGTCTGGTTTTGGTATCAGGGTGATGGTGGCCTCCTAGAATGAGTTTGGGAGTGTTCCTCCCTCTGCTATATTTTGGAAGAGTATGAGAAGGATAGCTGTTTAGTTCTTCTCTAAATGTTTGATAGAATTCACCTGTGAAGCCATCTGGTCCTGGGCTTTTGTTAGTTGGAAGATTTTTAATCACAGTCTCAATTTCTGTGCTTGTGATTGTTCTGCTCATATTTTCTACTTCTTCCTGGTTCAGTCTTGGAAGGTTATACCTTTCTAACAATTTTTCCATTTCTTCCAGGTTGTTCATTTTATTGGCATAGAGTTGCTAGTAGTAGTCTCTTAGGATGCTTTGTATTTCTCTGGTGTCTGTTGTAACTTCTCCTTTTTCATTTCTAATTTTATGGATTTGAGTCCTCTCCCTCTTTTTTCTTGATGAGTCTGGCTAAAGGTTTATCAATTTTGTTTACCTTCTCAAAGAACCAGCTTTTAGTTTTATTGATTTTTGCTATTGTCTTCTTCGTTTCTATTTCATTTATTTCTGCTCTGATCTTTATGATTTCTTTCCTTCTACTAACTTTGGGTTTTGTTTGTTCTTCTTTCTCTAGTTCCTTTAGGTGTAAGTTTAGGTTGTTTATTTGAGATGTTTGTTGTTTCTTGAGGTAGGATTGTATTTCTATAAACTTCCCTGTTAGAACTGCTTTTGCTGCATCCCATAGGTTTTGGATCGTCGTGTTTTCATTGTCATTTGTCTCTAGGTATTTTGGGATTTCCTCTTGATTTCTTCAATGATCTCTTGATTATTTAGTAACGTATTGTTTAGCCTCCATGTGTTTGTGTTTACGTTTTTTTCCCTGTAATTGATTTCTAATCTCATAACATTGTGGTAGGAAAGGATGCTTGATATGATTTCAGTTTTCTTAAATTTACTGAGGCTTGATCTGTGACCCAAGAGGTGATCTGTCCTGGAGAATGTTCTGTGTGCACTTGAGAAGAAAGTGTAATCTGCTCTTTTTGGATGGAATGTTGTATAAATATCAATTAAATCTATCTGGTCTATTGTGTCATTTAAAGGTTGTGTTTCCTTATTAATTTTCTGTTTGGAAGATCTGTCCATTGGTGTAAGTGAGGTGTTAAAGTCCCCCACTATTATTGTGTTACTGTCGATTTCCTCTTTTAGAGCTGTTAGCAGTTACCTTATGTATTGAGGTGCTCCGATGTTGGGTGCATATATATTTATAATTTTTATATCTTCTTCTTGGATTGATCCCTTGATCATTATGTAGTGTCCTTCTTTGTCTCTTGTAATAGTCTTTATTTTAAAGTCTATTTTATCTGATATGAGTATTGCTACTCCAGCTTTCTTTTGATTTCCATTTGCATGGAATATCTTTTTCCATCCCTTCACTTTCAGTCTGTATGTGTCCCTATGCCTGAAGTGGGTCTCTTGTAGACAGCATATATATGGGTCTTGTTTTTGTATCCATTCAGCCAGTCTGTGTCTTTTGGTTGGAGCATTTCATCCATTCACATTTAAGGTAATTATCGATAAGTATGTTCCTATTACCATTTTCTTAATTGTTATGGGTTTGTTTTTGTAGGTCCTTTTCTTCTCTTGTGTTTCCCACTTAGCGAAGTTCCTTCAGCATTTGTTGTAGAGCTGATTTGGGGGTGCTGGTGCTGTTATCTTTTGCTTGTCTGTAAAGCTTTTGATTTCTCCATCAAACCTGAATGAGATCCTTGCCAGGTAGAGTAATCTTGGTTGTAGGTTCTTCCCTTTCATCAATTTAAATATGTCATGCCCCTCCCTTCTGGCTTGTAGAGTTTCTGCTGAGAAGTCAGCTGTTAACCTTATTGGAGTTCCTTCATATGTTATTTGTCGTTTTTCCCTTGCTGCTTTCAATAATTTTTCTTTGTCTTTAATTTTTTGCCAGTTTGATTGCTATGTGTCTCGGCATGTTTCTCCTTGGGTTTATCCTGTATGGGACTCTGCCCTTCCTGGACTTGGGTGGCTGTTTCCTTTCCCATGTTAGGGAAGTTTTCGACTATAATCTCTTCAAATATTTTCTCGTGTCCTTTCTCTCTCTCTTCTCCTTCTGGGACCCCTATAATATGATTGTTGTTGCGTTTAATGTTGTCCCAGAGGTCTCTTAGGCTGTCTTCATTTCTTTTCATTCTTTTTTCTTTATTCTGTTCCGCAGCAGTGAATTCCACCATTCTGTCTTCCAGCTCACTTATCCGTTCTTCTGCCTCAGTTATTCTGCTGTTGATTCCTTCTAGTGTAGTTTTCATTTCAGTTATTGTATTGTTCATCTCTGTTTGTTTGTTCTTTAATTCTTCTAGGTCTTTGTTAAACATTTCTTTCATCTTCTCAATCTTTGCCTCCATTCTTTTTCCTAGGTCCTAGATTATCTTCACTATCCTTATTCTGAATTCTTTTTCTGGAAGGTTGCCTATCTCCACTTCATCTAGTTGTTTTTCTAGCATTTTATTTTGTTCCTTCATCTGGTACATAGACCTCTGCTTTTTCATCTTGTCTATCTTTCTGTGAATGTGGTTTTTGTTCCACAGGCTGCAGGGTTGTATTTCTTCTTGCTTCTGCTGTCTGCCCTCTGGTGGATGAGGCTATCTAAGAGGCTTGTGCAAGTTTCCTGATGGGAGGGACTGGTGGTTGGTAGAGCCGGGTGTTGCTCTGGTGGGTAGAGCTCAGTAAAACTTTAATCTGCTTGTCTGCTGATGGGTTGGGCTGGGTTCCCTCCCTGTTGGTTGTTTGGCCTGAGGCGACCCAGCACTGGAGCCTTCCCAGGCTCTTTGGTGGTGCTAATGGCGGACTCTGGGAGGGCTCACTCTAAGGAGTACTTCCCAGAACTTCTGCTGCCAGTGTCCTTGTCCTCATGGTGAGACACAGCCACCCCCTGCCTTTGCAGGAGACCCTCCAATACTAGCAGGTAGGTCTGGTTCAGTCTCTTATGGGGTCACTGCTCCTTCCCCTGGGTCCCAGTGCGCACACTACTTTGTGTGTGCCCTCTAAGAGTGGAGTCTCTGTTTCCCCCAGTCCTGTTGAAGTCCTGCAATCAAATCCGGCTAGCCTTCAAAGTCTGATTCTCTAGGAATTCCCCCTCCTATTGCCAGACCCCCAGGGTGGGAAGCCTGACCCTGGGAGGGGCTCAGAACCTTCACTCCAGTGGGTGGAGTTCTGTGGTATAATTGTTCTCCAGTTTGTGAGTCACCCACCCAGTGGTCTTGGGATTTGATTTTATTGTGATTGTGCCCCTCCTACCATCTCATTGTGGCTTCTCCTTTGTCTTTGGATGTGGGGTTTTTGGTGAGTTCCAGTGTCTTTCTGTTGATGATGGTTCAGCAGTTTGTTGTGATTCCGGTGCTCTCACAAGAGGGAGTCACCTCATAAACTTTTAAGCACCCTACAAATGTCAGTTAATAACAGTAATAAAGTTATTTGAGAAGAGCTGCTGTTCATCAAACATTTGGAACTTTTGGGGGGATATAAATGTGATAGTGTATTTGATAAGTAATTTAAATGAGACTGACATTCATTACCATTTTAAAACCTTAAATAGAAGTGATTCATATTGTAAACTCTGGGCAACGTTTTCTTCATAGGCTGTTTCACATTGGGTGACTATAACCTCCCATGTTTTCGTAAGCAGTTTTCATTTTCTTGATATTCAGAGTTTCTACACGTGATGATTACTGATGACTTTTTGCCCATCCTATGGACATAATTGAAAGAATCGCTTTGCTTATAATAAATAGCAAAAGCTTTCTTTCAAATAATTGCTTGTTTCTGTTTCTGCAGAAACCAATGTAATAAAATCAAAGTAGGAGAAGGTACTTCACTATATGAAATTTAAAAAAATACACAGATTTGGGTTTTCTTTTTTTCTCACAGATTTACACTACTTGGTGAAATGGACATTGACGGTATCTCCTACGAGGAGCTTTCCCCACCTGATGAAGAGCCTGCCGAGAAGAAAAAGGAGAAGGAGCTCAGGAAGAGACAAGAACTACTTAAATTAGTGAACTTTTCAAAGTAAATGATTTATTACTGTTCATTTGTAATTTCTTAAAAATACCTAGTAATCTAAGTGTGTTCTTTACTAGTGACAATTGCTGTACATTATTTTGGCAAGTTAAATCAAATGCATTTAGTATTGTTTTGCCCTTGTGCTTTTGTGTACTGTTCCATGAATTTGAGGCTTAATACAATATTGATCATTTTTATTCTATTTTAGATCTTAGAGAAATGTGCTTGTAGGTAAATATAAGTGGCCTAATACAGTTGTTCAAAACAGGTTAACACTGGAACAAAAGGAACTTTGCCGTTGTAGACTGAAATTATTAACCTACTTAGATCGACTCGCAACATATGAGGTAAGGAGTAGTTTTTTTGTTTGTTTGTTTGTTTGTTTGTTTTATTTTTGCGGTACACAGGCCTCTCACTGTTGCGGCCTCTCCTGCTGCAGAGGACAGGCTCCAGACGTGCAGGCTCAGCGGCCATGACTCACGGCCCAGCCTCTCCGCAGCATGTGGGATCTTCCCGGACCGGGGCACGAACCCGCGTCCCCTGCGTCGGCAGGCGGACCCTCAACCACTGCGCCACCAGGGAAGCCCAGGAGTAGTTTTAATCAAACCAATTATGTTCATTTGATCTGTCATTATAAATGCTAAGGCTGCCTTCATATCTGATATTCTTGGTCTTTAGAACTATTTATGTGGGAAAAGTTCATTTTGTATAGAAGCAAGTTCTCTTATACATCAGTTTTGGTAAAATTTAGAGGTTCATGCAAGGCCAGAAGTTGCTTTGTTCGTCTAGGGAGTAGAAGTGCATGAGCCATCTCTGAGAATCTGTGTTTCCTAGGTTTATGATACTTTTCATTTACTTTTATTTTACATTTAAACTTTAGGTTATGGCATATAGCTGTCTATAGTACCAAATTCAGTATACACTGGGTTTTAATAATCCTAATATGACTATTTCTGACTTGTTTAATTTTAATGATTTATTAGTGGTTTGAATTTAGTTGGTTAAACTTTGATCCTAATTATGGCCAGAGTTAGTCACTTGAACTTAAAGCATACTTCAAAATTGTTTCTTCGGGACCACAAACACAAATATCCCATGTTGGGCATTTCAGTAGCACTCTGTACCATGAGATTTAGGTATTGTTAAAGGCGTGAGAAGCATTTCATAAAATAGACATAGTTTAGATTGCTTTTTCACATGACCCTCATAGCTTACGTTACCCAGGATTTCGTATAAATTTCCCACCTTTGAAATTTGACTTCATTTGCAGTTTACTTCCTCCATCTCTCTCGGCCTCCCTTCTGTGGTCACATCGTGGCTTTTGGTATCGGCGCATAGTAGGGACTCAGTAAACACCACTTCCTATGTGTTTCCCTTTACCTGTTCTTATTGCTTGTTCGTCTTCCCTACTAGATTTTGAGCTACTTGGAAAGCAGGGAAGCTGTATTATTGTTCATTGTATCACCACTGCCTATCACAGTGCCCCTTGCACATTATTGACACCTCATAAATATCTGATTAAAGAATGAATGGTTCATCTGATAACGTGATGCCCGTCCCCATAGTAATGGAGGTACTTAGTACTTGTGATGCCTGCAGGCAAATAAAAGCATTTGATTCTCCAGCTGTTAATACAATAGAATGTTTTCAAACAGAATACTAGTGACAAAAGAGGACTATTTCTCTGGTTATTAGTAAACATGGTAATTAGTATATCACTTCATACAAACAAGTTACAAAACATTCCTAATAGTTTTATCTGTAGTACAACTAGTTTGACTGTTGGATGGTCATATTATTTTAAAGCATATCCTTTTATTATGTCCGAGTTCTGTGATATTGATGTAATATATAAAAGCATATTGTGAATTACTGATGTTGGTACAGATATAGTTTATTATTTTTTATACTTAGCTTTGGTTTCACTGATGAGATCTTACAAAGAAAAAGTTCCATAAAATATTCAGAGTTTGACGTTCCAGTTAATTTTATTTTATTATTTTTTAGTTATTGAATTGCTATTTCCTATTTGACAGTAGTAAGTGCATTTATTATTACATGATAATAGTGAAATTTAAAGTATTTGTTGAGCCCACAAAAATGGAATTAAGTTAAGCTTTTGAAAAGTACGTGAAGTTGACGAACTTGGCCGTTAAAACTTAGAAACGATGTTCTGATACAGTGACTAACCAGCTAGATATAGTGGTAGAGATAGGCATTACATTTTTAATCATAGGGCATGGCTTATTTTATTAATTCTGTGATAAATTAGATAAAAATGGATTTATTTAAATTTTACACGAGTTCCTACTGTATGCCAGTGATGGTGGTAGAGAGATGAACAAGGAATAGTCCTTGTGGATTCCTCATTATATGGGCAATAAGTGATGATAATGAAGATATGAAGAATTGATGAGGGGGCATAATGGAGCAAAACATTAAATTTTTCCTAGGGATGTCCAAGAAGACTATGTAGGAAGTGATATTTCAACTAGTCCTTAAAAAAAGGGAGGCTGACTCAGGGGGCTATAGGACTACTGTGCGGGGGGGCGGGATGCAAGCATAGAAACTCCATAAGGGTAAGGGTCTTGTCTTGTTTGCTGCAGTATCACCAGAGCTCTGAACGAGACCTGGCTTGTTGAGCTCAGGAAATATTTGAAGAAATCAGTAGTTAAGAGATACCTTAAAAAATACCAGCATATTTGTTGAGGAATTACTCTTTGCCAGCCAGTGTCTTAGGTACTTAATTCAGATTATTTCTTGACAGCCCTTTGAGGCAGGTATTGCTATCCTCTCAGTTTATGGATGTGAGGCTTAGAGAAGGTAAGTATTTTGTCTAAATAAATAGGAAGCAAGAGCCTCCTCTGAACATCCTCTTTCTTCCCTCTTTTCTATCTCAGTAAGTTAATGCAGTTAACAAATATTTACTGGCTATTTATTATGTGAAAGCCAGCATGCTAGGTGTCTGGGGTTCAGCATAAACACAGGAGAAATGAGCCTGAAGCCATCGCTGTGGTGGGGAGATGCACACTTGCCATTGCCGTGGCTAGCTCCTGTTTGTTCTTTATGTGTCAGCCTTGGCGTCCCTTCTGGGAGGCCCTCCCTGTCCTCCCAGGACTAGTTTTAGCACCTTCCTATGTGTTTCCCTTTACCTGTCCTTATTGCTTGTTCGTCTTCCCTACTAGATTTTGAGCTACTTGGAGAGCAGGGAAGCTGTATTATTGTTCATTGTATCACCACTGCCTATCACAGTGCCCCTTGCACATTATTGACACCTAATAAATATCTGATTAAAGAATGAATGGTTCAATCTGCAATTTACATAGATCATTCCAGCAGCAGTAAAGTTAATCTAAAGTTCTCACACAGATGTGACAGGTGCCCATAGTACATAGCCATGTGTAACTGTCGCTTATTCGTTTTTACCAGGTGGTGGATTTTGCTTGTCCTACTGTAATTGTACTGCCTATTTCATTTACTTCTGGATTTTTTTTCCATTAACAGCATTTATAAATATAGCCATTTTCCAAATAAAGACAAGAATACAGATGTAGTACTTTAGTTAACAGTTGAGAGTTTAATTAATTCAGGCCTTATTTATTTAGGTAGGCAGAGTTGTAATGGTTTTTAATATTTTCTTGTCATCCATATTTAAAAGCCTTTCCATTAAATCACTGTTTCCCCTCAGGAAATCCTCAGAGTGCCTCATGCATCTGAACAGAGATATGATGCTGAATTCTTTAAGAAGTTCAGAAATCAGAATATTGTTCTCTCAGCAAGAACTTATGCTCGGGTAATTTCTTTTTTGTAAATAAAACAATTATGGTTATTAACACTTTCTCAGTCTTTGAGCCATGCAGTTAATGTTATTGCATGCCTATATCATTACATTTCCTTTCTGTGTTGTACTATATTAATAAATGTAGAGAAAATAGAATCATGTTAAAATTTTTTTATTCATTATTCTGAGTTCTAAAAATAATTTTTAGAGCATTAGGTTGAGAAAAGTGATACAGACCTGGAAAAATCAGGACTCTTTCAAAGCACTTCATATCAGAACTGCATAAAAAAGTTAATTTTAAGGTTTTGAATGTTGTCATACAAAATCACTCCTTTATTTCTAAGGTTCACGTTAGAAACTTGCCCTTGCCTTCTGTACAGGAAAGTAATGTACAAGCCCTAGAAATTCTGTTTACTTACCATGGATCTGACCTGCTTCCTCATCGCCTCGTGATTCTCTCCAATTTCCCAGAGACCACTTCTCCACATGAATATTCCATTTTGCTCCCTGAAGCTTGGTATGTACTATGTTCACTGAATTTTACCTTTTTGCTAAGTAACAATTTTTGTTTCATGCTAAACATCTTAAATTAAAAAAATTTAAAATGTAAACAATTTAAACTTTTTTTTCTGATTATAAAATTATTTCTAACTTATTTTTACGTGATCCTGAGGCCAAACCAAAATATGTCTAGCATAATAGGATTACTGTAACGTACGGAATGTGAACTTTGCTTTTTTTTTTTGAAAGTCTTCTGCTACTAAAAAAAAAAAAAAGAAAAGAAAGTCTCCTACCTTTATGGCTATGTACTCAATATATACTGTTTTATGGTTAAGAACAGTTTTTAGGATAACAGTGTCTGTTTGAATTAGTTGTATATTTTAGAAATTGAAGTGTAGTTCTGACAATATTAGGTTGTAGGTCCAGGGAACCCAGGAATGTCTTGGGGATCCTACTTTTCTCAACAACCTTTTCTCCCTATGAAATTCCAGAGGCACAAAGACAGATGGGAAATCAAAGTACCTCTTTCCCATTATACTAATGCTCCTTATCTCAGTTGAAGTCTTTTTGATAATTGGGTTGTGACATAGACTCTTAAGACCAGTGGGACCATTAAGACCCAGTTGTACCATCTGGTGGGCTTCCAAAGGCCAGAACATCACTTCCTGAGAATGAAGAAAAGAGAATATACATTTGACCCTTGAACAACACAGGTTCAAACTGTGCAGTTCCACTCACACATGGACTTTTTTCAGTAGTAAATACTACAAAACGACATGGTCCTCAGTTGGCCGAATCTGAGGATGTGGAGCTGTGTGTACAGAGGATCCACGTGCATGCAGGGCTGACTATAAGTTATACAGGGGTTTTTGACTGCATGGAGGGTTGACACCCTTATCCTCCCTGTTGTTCCAGATTCAGCTGTGTTTGCCTCAGTGTGTAGCCTGGAGATGGGCAGGTCATCAGCCCCAGGCCTGAATGCCACCTGGGAGTAGCATACCTTGCCTCTGTCTGACCCCATAGAGGCAGAAGGGAAGAATATGTCCATTTGTGAGACCTTTTATATCTGGTAAACTAGCCCACTAGTAAATGTGGCTCAGTCATTAATTGCATCCTTTCTGAATTTGTTTGCCCAGTCTTAAAAAGAGTTGAGAGTCCCTGTCTTGCGTACTCATGTTGCATACTTTTAGTAATAGGTGAATTAATCTGTATGAAATCTGCTTGTAAACTATAAAATACACTGTAAGGGATTATGACGGCTCTGACTGAAATCATTGTTACAGACTCTAGCTCCTGGCAACTTACAGTGATATGGGAAGGGAACTGGGGATCATGTGGCTTCCTCATTCCTCCTCTGCACCTCCCCTGCATAGTTGTAGGCTTAGCTGTTGACGATAATGACCAGCATTTATACAGTAATTACTATGCATTTGGCACATACTTAATTCCGGTCTCCCAACACTTTTGGTATTATCTCTGTTATTATAGAAAGCTGAGATTTACAGAAGCTTAATAGCATATTAAACTTTATGTAAGTGCAGCCAGGATTTGAACCTATTTTTATTTAGAGTTGTAAGTCAGTAAGCTCTAAAAATAGAAGTTATAAACTCCCTACTTTGCATTACTGTTAGTACTAAAATGTAATTCTTTGTTATGATAAAAGTGAGCAAAAAGAAGAAGCTTGGGATATACCTTTCAAGCAGTTTCTTTTAGATCTGAATACTGATAAGTAAATGCAGTCTATAAATATGTATTTATAAATATTTAACAATTAATTCATTTATTTTCTGCCTGTTCGCAAAATAGATCTAATCTGAATGGAAATGACCTTTTCTACTGTACATTGTTAGTATAGAGAAAAGGGCCACTGTCTTAACGTTTTTTCTAAAGGTAGTTTCTCCTTAGATTTGAACTCATTTATTTGCATTGTCTTCTGATGATTGCTTAGATAAATGTTTGATTTTAACCTGAAATTTCAGAATTGGTTTTTAGAATAGTTTTACAATGCCCAGTGCTATATGTTACCTTTGAAAGCCCTATCTATGGTTCCTTTATGGTGGCTGTCATAACTGATTTAAATGGCAGTAAATACTTTGGGTATATCATTGCAGCAGAGGGTAATTAGATGTTATTTCTAATCTTTCTTGTGGGATGTGTTGCTTAGACAAACTTGGAAAAGACTGATTTCTTGTGAGTCCTTAGGTCATAATCATTTTAAATATATTGAGAAAATATAGATTTATTTTTTTGTTAATCTTTGTTTCTCAAGAAAGTCTTTCACATTGATTATATTTTTGCTATAGTTAGAAAGACTGAGAAAGAACAATAGATTTTAATAGTAATGTCTTTTATGTGACTGCAAAGCGAAACCACAGTTATGTTTCAGGCATAGCCTCTTCTATGAGGTCTTCAGTAATTATTCCTTTCCCTATATTCTCATAATTCTTTGTTCATTCTTGCAGTATAGCACTTTTTATTTTGTATTATAGTCAGTCATTTTTATTACTGCCTTTCTCCCCCTTGTTCTCTTCTTTAATAAACACCCAGCCTTAAACTCACTAACTTCAAGATGGAGGCCATCTCTTCCTGAGTTTTGGCTCCTCAGGGCCCAGATGTTTGTGCAGTGGTTCTCTAAACTTGTTTGCTAACTGGATAAATTAGGTCCATTTTACGCCCATTTACAAAAGAGATGAAGAGATGTCCTGCAGGGATTGCAACAGAATATGCTTTCACTTACTAACAAGGGAGGTGTCCAGGTCATGTTTCTCCAAGGCTCCCACCGCCTTAAAGATTCAATTGCTATTTTAGCCCATAGGTGAAGCCTGTACTCTTCTACCCTATTCAAAGTTTCACTCTAATGGACGTGGAGATCCATAAGATACAATCGTAGGACTTATTTCCCTTTTTTAGGAAATATATTTTTTGAGTACTTGCTATTCATTTTCAAATCACTTGGAAACCTTGGGTCAGATGGACACAAAGTGTCTGAGTGTTGGAATATAAACACCCCTTACTGTTTGACCGAGCCCCTTCTGCATGCCTGGCGCTATGGTAGGGGTCTTGAAATGAGTGAACACAGTTCCTCTTCAGCAGGAGTCATCAGGTATGGTTTACACAGGAACAGAAGTTCCTGCTTGCAGCATCATGCTTTCAAACTGAGGAAGAGGTGAGTTGAAATGACTCTAAATCTGCAGCCTTTTTTGCTTTCTCTCTTCTTCTCCTCAGTTACAGTGTTTGCCAGCTCCTGAAATGGTCTTGCCACTTCCTTGTTTACTGCCTCGGACAGCTGTAGAACTTTCTGTGCGCATGCCTTGTTTTTCTGTGAGTGTATACATTGCTCAGTGGTAGAGCCTGTATTTCATCCTGCTTTATCTTCTCTTCAGCCCGCCAGCTTGTAGTTTTCAAGTAATAATGACTTTTTAATGATCTGTTGAATTGATTAGAAACAAGTCAGTAAGCTCTAAATGGACGGCTCCCAAACGCAGAATGACCGCGTAGCTCCCCACTGCCTTCAGCTTGCTGTTGGGACACTCGGTACAGGGCCCTGCTCTCTCCACTCTGCCAACTGTTAGTCCCATGAGCATGCCAGGCCTTCCCTCCCCACCCCCTTAGGGCTTTTCAAGGTTAGTGTGCTCCCGCTGGGTGTGTCCTCCTGGATCTTCACATGACTTGTCTTCTCCCATTTATCTATCTTCCTTGGCCATTCTATTTAGAACTTTACCCTCACTTTATTTTTATTTATTTATTTTTGAATTATCCATTATAAATATAAAATTATCCATTTTATACACATCAGTGTCTACGTGTCAATCCCAATCTCCCAATTCCCCCCCCCCCCCCCCCCCCCCCACCTTGGCGTCCATACATTTGTTCTCTACATCTGTGTCTCTATTTCTGCCCTGCAAACCAGTTCATCTGTACCATTTTTCTAGGTTCCACATATATGTGTTAATATACGATATTTGTTTTTCTCTTTCTGACCTACTTCACTCTGTATGACAGTCTCTAGGTCCATCCACGTCTCTACAAATGACCCAATTTCGTTCCTTTTTATGGCTGAGTAATATTCCATTGTATATATGTACCATTTCTTCTTTATCCATTTGTCTGTCGATGGGCAAATTTAGGTTGCTTCCATGACCTGGCTGTTGTAAATAGTGCTGCAGTGAACATTGGGGTGCACGTGTCTTTTTGAATTATGGTTTTCTCTGGGTATATGCCCAGTAGTGGGATTGCTGAGTCATATGGTAGTTCTATTTTTAGTTTTTAAAGGAACCTCCATACTGTTCTCCATAGTGGCTGTATCAATTTACATTCCCACCAACAGTGCAAGAGGGTTCCTTTTTCTCCACACCCTCTCCAGCATTTGTTGTTTGTAGATTTTCTGATGATGCCCATTCTAACTGCTGTGAGCTGATACCTCACTGTAGTTTTGATTTGCATTTCTCTAATACTTAGTGATGTTGAGCAGCTTTTCATGTGTTTGTTGGCCATCTGTATGTCTTCTTTGGAGAAATGCCTATTTAGGTCTTCTGCCCATTTTTGGATTGGGTTGTTTGTTTTTTAATATTGAGCTGCATGAGCTGTTTATATATTTTGGAGATTCTTTCTCCGTTGATTCGTTTGCATATATTTCCTCCCATTTTGAGGGTTGTCTTTTCATCTTGTTTGTACTTTCCTTTGCTTTGCAAAAGCTTTTAAGTTTCATTAGATCCCATTTGTTTATTTTTATTTCCATTACTCTAGGAGGTGGAACAAAAAAGATCTTGCTGTGATTTATGTTAAAGAGTGTTCTTCCTATGTTTTCCTCTAAGAGTTTGACAGTGTCTGGTCTTATATTTAGGTCTCTAATCCATTTTGAGTTTATTTTTGTGTATGGTGTTAGGAAGTGTTCTAATTTCATTCTTTTACATGTAGCTGTCCAGTTTTCCTAACACCACTTATTTAGGAGACTGTCTTTTCTCTCTTACCCTCACTTTAAATCTTCCTTTCCTGTTTTATTTTCTTCCTAGCTTA